AATTTTGATTGAATTTCTTCCTATTTTTGTTTTTTCATTTTCTTCTTCGCACCGAAAGTATGGAAACGTTATTTCATAGAAAATCATATTTAACTTTCATTGATTTGTTTTCAAATTTTGTTCTCTGATAGATCTTTACAACCTACAATTAGGTGTCAAATTTGGTCTAAATATAAGCAGCATGCTCAAAGTTATTCAACAAAAACCGCTCAATTTTGACCAAACTCTTTGCGTGTGCCTACGCAAAAAGTCTACAGCTTCATCTAAGAGTATAGATGGAAAGTTTTCAATTTTTCACCTTAAGATTAAATATGGCTGATTTATAGCGCTAAAACTATATGGTGAAAGCACATATATACATAAGTATTGGTTAGGTCAAACAAACTTGATTAGCAGTTTCTAGCTCAAGTTTTCAAAAAAATCATACGGGTGGATGATTATTATTCATTGCCAACTTTTAAGCACAAATTTGGTAAGTCTTATGAAATTCTCCTAATTCACCATAGGATCAAATTTATGGCACAACTAATTGAAAAATTATTGATTTTTTTCCTAATTGAAGTGCTGTAAAACATGAGAGCATCTAAACTCAGTATAGGAATTCCTGTATCTGAATTCATATATACTAAGCAAGAACTTCCTTGAAACAGTTGAGGAAATATCCCAAATCCTTCTTAACTGCCCCATTCAAAACTGGTTCATTTACCTGACTCACATACTCCAACAATTAAATGGAGGCTCAGATAAGCACCTACAACCAGCTTTACATTTTTACAAATTAGAGGTTGAGAACTTTTGGAGAAGGTCCTCATTTTCATTTATAAATCTATAGACTCGTGAAATCTGACAAATATGGCAACTTTGGATGAATTATATATATATATATATATGGCATTTCAATTGTCTATTTTTACCACAGTGAATTTATATTTATATAGGATTTGAAGAGTATGCAGCAACCAAATGCTTTATAAATATAAGTTTAGTTGGTTAAGTGAAAGACAACTAACAACACCATACATACAATACAAAGTCCACCACTATAAGAAGTTAGTCTTTTTTTATTTGTTCTTTTCTAGAGTTACTAATTGATGGGTGTAATTCCCCAAACCTGGCACAACTCGGTGAAAGTGATGAATCAAATGATAGATTGAACTTCATATTTATTTGTTATATCCTTGAGTGAAGTCTGTAGAAGAATGGTACAGTATGTAGAGATATTCATCGTCTTAATGTGTCATAAGCACATTTTGGTTCAACTTAAACTACGAACTGGGGTTTTAAAGCATCAACAGTGTGCTTTGCTAACTGGAAATGCTTTTCATTAACTCCTAAGTTTGATCGATTGCAGCAAGGTAGATACTACTCTACCTGATGGCATGACGGCATTTCATATTGTACTTCATTTGATGTGTACATCTTGCAACTCATTTTGGCCAGGGTGGTTCAAGCCAAAACCTTGTAATGTATGGGGTCCTTAACATGCACCTTTGTATCCCAGAAAAACCTCTCCAGTAAGTCTCGGGACATTTGGCTGCTTGATACCTCCATGACTCTTCTCTGCTATCCTATGCTATAAAGTAGATATTAGAGGTCACATAAAAGCAACCTGGCAGCTTAAGAGCTTCTTGATTCTGAAGCCAAAGTGGACGTGCAGACATAGTTCTTAAGATGAGAATAGAAAGTTCTTGGTTTGAGAGAAGGCCGCTCCTACTCCTTGCCACATTCAAAGATTGAACTTGCACTATGAACATTATGATAGCTCTGATTGGAATAATAATCATTACAAGATACAAACCATCCTGATAACTCACACAAGATAAGGCCAGAAGCGAGAATAAAGAAATACTATACATTCAAGTCAGACCAGGTTTCTAGCGCAGTGTCCTTAGATTACTCATGTCAACGAATGTTCCTAATAATATATTCAAGCGAGAGAGAGAGGCTCAAATCAATATAAACTTACACAAGTATCTATGTCATTCCTCGAAATAGGTAGTAGACAAGGCTTAAGCTTGTAATAGTTTCTAAGGGAAAGCCACTGTAATATGCAACCTCTACCTAAGTATTGACTTCTCACTGTCTTTAACTTTTTATTATGTACCGACCAAGAGACTGGGATGACAGTTTAACATGACTTCAATGGCTACTATTAATGCTTGGAGACGACTTGAATGGGTAATGAAGAAAAAATTTAATATAAGTTTAACATAACAGCAAATCTACAACGTTTCGACGAGGATAAATGGAAATATGATTTTTAAAGTTACAAACAATTCGGATGATTCCACATAAGTTATTCACAGACATCCAACTCACCAAGATGTACATGAAAGATAACACAGCACATCATGCTGAAGATTAGAGTTTCTACCTGGGCTAGATAATATTTCCCCAAGGATTTTGAAGGAGATTAAAGATTGGATATGTGAGCCACTTACTAATATTTTTGTCAGTCCTTGATTAGTGGCAGGTACCAGAGGATTGGAAGTTAGCTAATGTAACTCCTCTTTTCAAGAGAGGTGATAAAAATTGTCCCAGTAATTATAGACCCATCAAGCTTATATCAGTTGTTGGAAACGTTTTGGAAAGTCTGTTTAAAGATGCTTTGCAAAGTCATTTAACAAAGTTTAGAATTTTATTGGATAGTCAACATAGTTTCACTCAGGGAAAATCTTGCCTTACACATCTTTTGACATTATTTGAAAAGGTTACTGCTTATGTAGATGAAGGTAAAGTTGTAGGTTCGGTGTAGCTTGATTTTCAGAACGCATTTGACAAGGTGCCACATAAAAGGCTTGTAAACAAATTATTTCTGTAGGTGTGGGGTTCTGGTTCCCTAAGTTTATTCATATTATTTTGTTTTCCAACACCATTAAATACAAATGTAACCGTGTCTTGGAAATTCTAAATTCCAGACCTAAACACATTCTTATGGTCTAAGTGTATGAATTTTTTGCATCGGAAAAGGCTGTTACAGACTCTTCTAAAAACCTTATCTCTAGAGGTGCGGGGGATAAGTTAGCAAATTGGATAGAAGAGTGACTAGATGGAAAAAAACAGAGGGTTGTTGCAAATGGAGTTCAGTCAAACTGGATTAATGTCACAAGTGGGGTACCTCAGGGCCCAGTCTTAGGATCTTTGCCCTTTTTGGTTTATAGCAATAACATAGATGAAGGAATAGTCAATAAAGTACTTAAATTTGCATATGATATTAAGGTCTTGGGTGTTGATAGCTGTGACGAGTATGCTGCCGATTTACAAAAGGATTTAGATCATTTAGTTAGTTGGGCAAATAAATGGCAAATGGGTTTTAATTATAATAAATGCAAGATAATGCATGTGGATTATCATAATTTGAATTATTAGTATAATTTGGATGGAAATAACCTTAACAGTGTTATGAAAGAAAGGGATCTTGGTGTAATAGTCGATCAGTCTCTAAAGCCATCCAAGCAGTGTGCTTTTGCTTGTGGTAAGGAAAATAGGATTTTAGATTGTATCTATAGAAATAATGAATACCAGTCCAAAGAGGTTGTACTTTCATTGTACAGGTCACTGGTTAGGCCATATTTGAATATTGTGTTCAGTCTTGAGCTCCTTACCTTAGGAAAGACATTGAATTGCTGGAAAGGGTTCAAAGAAGTGTTACTAGAATGGGCCTGGGATGAAGGTGTTGACATACGAAGAGAAGCTGAAATCTCTCAAATTGTTAAGGAGGGATTTGATTGTGGTGATTAATATTATAAAGGGAATTGATAGTGTTGATGCATCATCTTTTTTCACATTTAACAGTGAGGATAGTAGAACTAGTGGACACAAATATAATTTTTGGCAAGGTAGGAGTCATCTTCAGCTAAGACAGTTTCATTTTTCTAACAGGGTGGTTGGTCTTTGGAATGGGTTTGCCTTCGGATGTTGTACAGGCAGTAGATTTAAATGAGTTTAAGAAAAAGCTCGATAGGTATATGACTGATAAGGGCTTGCTTTAAGATTTGTTTTTTAATTATCTTAATTTAGTTTAGAGGATGGAACATGCCTACATAATACGTTATTTTGTCTACTTCCTAGGTAATAAAACACTCAAGCATTTTAGAATACGAGTGGAAATATTCAGAATTCAACCCATAATTATTGTTGAATATTTTTCCCTGATGGGACAGCAGTAAGTTTACGGACTTACAGCGCTAAAGTCTGCAGTTCGGTTCCCTCGGTATACACAACGTAGCTTTACTCTAAAACAATCAAATAAATATTAAGTATTTAAATAAGAATTATTTAGTCTTAATTTTATTGCAAACAGAAAATTGCGGATTTTACTGTTTCAGTATGTAAAAGATATTCATAGATGCTTGACCCAGTCATATTGTATTATTCCATTTAAAAATTACAACTTTCTACATGAAAGGTTGCAGTAACTAACTCTTAAAGAAAATCATAATAATAATATAAAATGCTTGTAACGTTACTGCCATCTATTGAACAACTTGTCATTGTAGTTTACTAGATGTGTAATTTGTAAACAAACAACATGGAAAGAAATAACTTTATGAAGAAAGTATCGCTATCAGCTAATCAAAGAGAAGTTATGTATTTAAAACACGAAGAACGCCTTTTAATTGAATTAATTGGTAAACTGAAAGACCAGTTAAACAGGTTAAAGGTAGATATTTTTTGTAAGGTCTTAATTCGTAATAATATTTTATTAGGCCTAAGTTATTACTACTACTACTACCAATAGTAATATTATATTATTAGTATTGATAAACAGTTCGTAGTAATCACTAATTCAGTAATTGTTGTGTGTTTTAATACTATTTACTAACTGAAGCAGTGAATAGGAATAAAACTACTATTACTATTAGTGAAGAGTAGGAGTTGTATAATATTTCTGTTGCTTTTTAGTGATTGTACTGCTAAATAAAGATGAGTGATAATATTAATAACTGAAATTTAATGTATTAATTATCAATATTATTATTAGTCTTAAATTTTGAACTGTATTTAGAAAAGCTAGTAAAACTAAAAGTTTTTTTTCAGGTTCTGCCATGTATAAAACTAAATTAAGTTAAACTAAAGTTACCTTTCAGTTTCAGTGTAGGCTTTACCATAAATTTTATACCCAACAGGAGCATATGTAGCATATTTATAAGTTACAATGATCAAGTACAATGATACTGGACAAGAAGACTGTAGCGCTTGAAACTAAATTGACGTTTTAATGTATCTGTTTGAGAGAAAGTTTTTGGTTTCTGTTCAGTGAAACATATAACAAATTTTTAAACCTTTTTAATATCATTCTTTTGCTTTACAAAACTAAATGTTTAATATAAAAAATGCAATGTAAAGAACCAAGTATCACTAATCATTGCTGCTCATCATATCTTTAAATTCTCAGCTGATAGCACAATTATATAAAGCATAATATATATACATACTAATTAACCTCCTGTGAGCACCTTATCAAAGGTTTTACAGAGTCTGGTACACAACATCAAATGGGATATTATCATCTAAAAATATGGAAGTTCTGTAACAGAAATTTCAACAAACCAGTAAAGTCAGGAAACCCTTTCCTAAAACCTAATAAAAATTACTAATTTTCCAAATTATTTTCTATATAATTTTTGATAACAGTTTTCACCGTCTTGAGAACAGCTGAAATCAAACTACTGTAATAGACTAATAGTTTCATAAGTTACTTCTTAACACTTTCTTTTTTTAAATAGTGATGGCATTGTATTCCCCCAATCATTAAGAATTAATAACATCTAATTCCCTCCCTTACCGTATTTGCTAATCTTCTTTAAAGTATTGGGGTAAATTTTTGTCACAGTCACAGCTATATTCTGTGCAAGTTTCTCAAGCTGCTTTTAATTTATTAAAAAATACTACCACCTTTAAGACATTAGTCAACTTGAATATCTATTCTATATTTTTCACTCATTTTATTGAAGTTTTGTTGTTTTTTTCTACATATTTGAAAGCCAAAATTTATCTAATGAAGGTTAAAAAGATGTGAGCTCTCTATTACATGAAGTTCTTATCAAACACAAAATATAATGCTCCTTCTTTTGATTTGTTTATTAATTGTCAATATTGTAATTTAGTTTAAGTTTTTCCCATATTTCTCAGTCACAAAACCATCTGTGAAGAAAATTAGTCACTGAAGATTTACAATAATATTGGAAAAGAAAAAGATATAGGTATCATTTTAAAATCATATAAATGTAAGTACATTTAATAATTATATTTATGGAGTGCAAAAAATAATGTTTTATTGTTCTTGGCATTCACAAATTATTGAATACTAAGATAATTTTATACATTCTGATTTGTTCGTTTTATAGACACCATCCAAATAAGTAGAATAATATTTTCATTGATAAAAGTGAGTAACTCAAGCACTCTCAAAAGATAATTATTAATGAAATAGTGTTCTAAAACATTAATTTAATATAGACAGTAATGAAATTGAAATATTTTTTAAAACCAGAATTATTTGATATAGCTATTCTATGCCACTTTTGCACATTGATAGTTGAAAAAACATACTCATGAACAGTGCATTTTAAGAAAACTTTTATTAAATCCAAGTGAAATATAAAGCAGTATTTTGAATTATCTTAATAATATGAATACTGTATAAATTAAGATATATTAAGAAATGTAACTACTACTACTACTAATATTTAGTCCCCATTACATTGAAATTTTAAATAATGGTTTAAAAAGAATAATAAACAAAGCTGTTAAATATACATGACTGTTTTATTTTAAGTTTAATACAAGTGTATGATTTAGATAGTCTATACATACTATGGGTGTCATATCTAGTTATTTTTAGAAGCAGTATTTTATGGTATGTTTGTTTACGTAACTGTTTACAAATCATATGTTGTTTTGTTCAATTGTTATAACTTAGTGATTGTTTACAATAGTTTGATTATTGCATCATGTTGCTAGAACTTTCTGAGTTTTTCATTGGTTTGATTGAGTATATTTCATCAGAATTTCTAGTATTTTGTGGAATGTTCTAGACTTCTGTCAGGGTATAAATATGCATTGAAATTCATTATTTAGTTCTCGTTCTAGACAGCATGATTATGAGTTTAACAATAAAAATGTATATTTGTGATTTTTAAAGTGAACTTATCACAAACTGTATTGTAATAACAAAGTACAGAAGAATAATTGTTCTTGTTAGCTGTGTATTAAGTTAACTGAACCAGCCTGTGTGGACTTTGACAAAAAATACACAATTATTTAAAGCTCTAGATATAACTGTAGTAACCAACAGTGTAATGAATATTTGTATATACATTTGATATCTTTTTAAGTTATTATTTTATAACAACTGGACTGTATTGCTGTTTGTTTATAGTTGAAACTTATCGCTAACAAGACACAGACACTTACCGTAAGGAATTCATCTTCATGAAACCTGACAAAAGCTAATGAAATCAATTGTGTCCAAGCCTTCTCTCACCCTGTCTTACCCCTCCACAGTCTTGTAAAACATACATTCCCTACTTGTGTTCACTTTCACTGTTTTATATTCAGTCTTTTTTCTCTCACTTTTTTGCAACTTTTATTCCTTCATTTTGCATCTTCTCAAGTTTTCTACCCAAGCAAATGCTTACCTATAAATCCCTTTGCTGTGTATGTACTCATGATGGAAAGAGCTAATAGAGACTGTAGTCCTGTTTAAAGGAAATTTAAGAATTGGAGGGTTATTGAAGCTTTGTGTAAAGAGTACAGAAACAGGCTAGTTGATTGATGTTTAGTTTAACTAATTTAATTTATGAGGACTACTTACACATAATTCTGGGCCCGGCATGGGCAGGTGGTTAGAGCGCTCGACTCACAATCTGAGGGTCGCGGGTTCGAATCCCCATCACACCAAACATGCTTGCCCTTTTAGCCGTGGGGGAGTTATAATGTGACGGTCAATCCCACTATTCATTGGTAAAAGAGTAGCCCAAGAGTTGGCGGTGGGTGGTGATGA